CCCCTCACATCAGATCAGGGCTGTGACCTAAGAAAGGGTGTTGCATCCCACCCTAATCCTCTTTAACATAACCTAATCTTACCTCATTAACCACAGGCAGAGATTAGGATTTACAACACACAGGAAAATTAGATCACAAGATGGAGGACAACCACACAATCCTGGAAATCGTGGCCTAGCCAAGTTGACACATATTTTGGGGGGACACAGTTCAATCCATGACACTGGCCTCTGAGCAACATGTAGAATACCGACAGATCCCCCTCCATCAAAAACAAGCTCCTTCCATCACTTCCCAATGGAGACCTTTAAAAAGCTTTAACCTCAGACATTCTTCTTCCTCACATGGAAATTAAAAGCAAAATTTTGTGAAATGTCACAATCCTTTTATGGATGATGAAATTAAAATAGCTTCTTTCTAGGTAACTTAATTGAAAAATGTTCAGCTTCAATTAACTAACCCAGATTTCTCTGTCTCCCTCCCTCCCTTCCTCCCTCCTTCCCTTTCTCTCTTCCTATTTTTCTTTCTTTCTTTTTTTTTTTGTTTGTTATGTTTGTTTGTTTTGGTGGGAGGGTTTGTTTTGCTGGGGCCCTAAGCAGAAGTTTAGGTATAACTACAGACAGTTTCCCTAGAAATCCCTATTCTACCACTTGGTAGACGGCTTGGAGCCATCACTGACCCCCACCTGTCCATCAATCTCTCTACCCAATCAGACCCTATATCATGTAGAAGCTACCCTCTAAAGCCCTCTTGCCATCCCCTTTTCTTCCTACCACCACTGCTTCATTGTAGGCCATGAGAAGGATCACAGATGTCCAAGCAGTCAGTAATCTTAGACATCCTCTAGACCAACCACCTCACTTTTATAGACGCACAAAGAGGTCCATAGATTAGAGTGGAGTCTCTCAAGGTCACTAGTCATTCTCAAGATCACACAACTAATTAATGATGGACCTAGAGCTTGTTGCCTCGCCTGCTCTAATAGCTCCGCTGGTTTCTTTGTCCCTGCTCTGGTCCATTAAATCCATCCGACACACAACAGTCAAGTTTACACCTCCAGTGTAGCTCTAGTCATGTTCCTCCCATACTTAGAACCTTCAATGTCTCCCCACTGACCTCAGATTAAAGTCCAAATTCCTTAGCCTGATTTTCGGTCTCTCCGCTTTATGGTTCCAACACCTAACACACCAAATCTGAATCTGACCATAGGTCCAAGCACATTTCCTAAAGCGTCACAGCTACCATCAATATAAGCTTAAAAGCACTGAGACATT